GCACCCAAAACTCTAGATTTTTCCCATATTGCACAGTGGCAGCCGTAGTAACAACTCTCATGCCGCCCAAAATCGATACGATAATTACCATCGCAATCTCACCACCACCACCAACAAAACACACTCCAAAATCATTCCACATCATCCACAGAATCAGATCCAAAATAATGCACAACTACTGCAAAACCAAATCGAAAATCATTGTATAACCATTAGTCACAAAACCAAATACGATCGATGAGGTCGAAGCAGCGGTGCTAGTTGCTTCAGATCGACACTGCTGCGATGGCGACGACGTCTTGAATGTTGAGCTGCAGTGCCTAAGTAGCTGCAGTGACGAAACACCGCTCGACCTATGATGTAGCGATGAAGCACTGCTCGACTTGCAGTGCAGGCGATAGGCAAATTGCTATCGACGACGGAGCTCGGCTTCCCACACGCTACTTCGACGTCTGGTGGCTACAACGAGAGAAAGAGATGGAGAGTAATGAAAGAATTGGTTGAAAATGTGGAAAGGAATGAATTTGGAGGGTGGAGATATTATATCAAAACCTGAATTATGTATAAAAAAATTTTGTACCAGACATTTGCACTGTGATCTTCAAACACCTGGAACCGTGTAATTTCCACAAAAGAAAAAGGGCTGCTCTTGGCTGATTATATATACATACATCACACGGAAGGAAGGGGAGAATTTTGATATACATACAAAAATGGTGGCTGGAGGTATAGTTATATATATATTTATACACAAATTGGCAGCCAACTTGGAAAAAAAAATGAGACATACAATAGTCGGGGACTGTTATATATATAGGGAGACAAAAAATACAAGTTGGCTGCCTTTGAGAGAAAAAAAAATAATTGGAGCAGTTTTTTCATTTTTTGGGGGGTGGAGAAGAGATACACAATTGAGGCTGCCTTTGGGAGTGTGGATTAAAGGACAAAAATCACAAAAGGGGTTGCCAATTGGTTGAAATTATTCAAACATTGGGACTGCATTTGGGATGAAAATGGAGAAGGAATATATTACACATGTAGAAGCCAATGGCGGATAGGAAAACGACAAAGACGTGACTACGGCATCGTTGCTTTGGAAATTTCACATCCCCTCAATTACTCAGTGATGTCTTTTCAATTTTATTTATTTAATTTCACTATTATGCTAGGTTAAGTTTTCTCATGTAATGGATAAAGATGAAACCATTTATTATTTATTTTTAATTCAAGACAAGTAGCTTAGTTAAATTCTTGCAATTTTTTATTAATCTTGCATGCTTAATTTTATTATTTGATTGTGTGATCATCGATTAAATATACAGTTGCTTGTTGTAGTGCTAAGATTTAAAACATTACTTCATTAATATGCGTGCAATAAATTTTAGGAATATGATTTATTACGTGTGCAATCTTTAAGTTAATTGTGCAATTGAATATGTTTTATTCATTCGAATTTGGACTAGGAATAGATTCGGGGGGTTGATATGATAGATTTAATTTTTTTTGAAAAGAAAATTAATTACAATAGAATTATCGATTGTCAAGAACGCAAGAACGAAACTGGCTACTTAGTTGAGAATTGAAATAGATAATAATAGGTGGATTCGTAATCCAATACACTCTTCCCATACGCGTTTTAAATTTGCATTTTACACGCTTTCTTAGAATAAGTTAAATTAATTAAAAACCTCAAATCAATTTTATTTGTTCGCTTTGAATCCAATTAAGGATTAGTATATTTAATTAAATTTTATTCCTCCTAGGACGATACTCTCAACTTACTTTATTATTACTTGTCAACGATCATGTATGCTTACGGGTTTTACACGAACAAATTGCTCTGGTGAGTAATCTGTAGATTATGTCATGGGCTACTTTACAATTTCCATTTTTTTTACAAAAAAAATAGATTTAAATTATATTAGCACTGCCCAGCGACCACTGAAAAAAGATGATTAGTCACACAGCGATGCTTGGTCAATGTTCTTCAACGATCGCCACATTTCTTCCTCCCTCTACTTCTAAGTCGGCCATGCTCAATCGTTGCTGAGCAACGATCACTTCACATCTGATGAAGAAGACGTTTAGTCTCTGAGGCGATTTTTGTAGATTCTATCTTTTTTATTTTGACGAAATTATTTAGATGTCAATGACTGTAAGAGTAACTACTGGCAGGTGGATGCCGGCTACAGTAAGAGAGGATGATGACAGGAAAATGCTGGTGATGGTGGCCCAGACTAGAGAGAAATTGAAATTATTTGATATATAATTTTTATTTAATTAATTAAATTTAATTACCGAGTTTTGAAAATGTAAATTTATTCTACTAAAATTGAATTGACCTAAACTTAAGACCTAAGATATGAATGTTTTACTTTTTATTTTTGGTTGATCTATTTTCATCATAATACAATTCTTTACTTGAATCCTTACTATTTAGTGATTGTTTAGTAGAGATTTTGTTAATTGATTTTTTGGCCATTAGAAATAAAGTGGGCTCTACCTGTGAGAGAAGAATTAAAAAATAACGACTGGAATAGTGAAATAACGGTAAAAAAATTGGTGTTAATTGAATTAAAATCCTTACCAAACATGCTGTTAGTATGTAATGTGGTACTATAGTACTTGTTATGATATTTTCAATTGGGCAGTGCTACAGTTATAGGGGCCTGATTTACAAGCCCCTGCCAGGGAAGACACACGGTGGGCCCCACAATAATTTTTTTTAATACAGGTGGGCCCCCCGCACAGTGAGGGGCCTGTAAGCAGCATGTGAAAGAATGCCCTGTACGCAGGGCATTCTCCTTTTCAATTATATATGAATTTTATTGGCATGTTAATTTTTTAAATATTTTAGTCCAATACAAATTAAAATTCCAACTTTGTACTGTGAATGGTATATATGATATTTAAAATTAAGCCCTTATTTGAACCTTATTCTCATAAAATTCAGGGTCCATTTGGTTAGTATTTCGATATTCAATTTTGAGTTCATTTTTGGATTTCTATTTTGAGAATTTGTTTTAAAGTAGTTAAAAGTGCGTTTAGTTTGACATTTTGAAAAATTATTTCTCAAAAAAAAAAAAAAAAAACTAGAAAACACACTTAGGGAGTGTTTGATAGCATGGAAATGGAAAAAAAAAAAAAAAGATGGAATTGGAATTGGAAATTCCAACTTTTGATGTTTGATACCTTATATTTTTCATGGAATTGCATTTCTTGGAACTTGAAATTTTCCTTATTTTAGTGGAATTTGAATTCTCACTATATATGGTGAGAATTCAAATTCCACCTTACTGTAGCGATTATTATTTGTTTTTCGTTTTTTTTTGTTGGTAATGGAAACCAATTCTAAGAATTATTGTAAAAAAATATTTCCCTTTAATTGACAATTTTCATGTAAAACAAAACCAAATGAACATTAAAAACACTTTTATTTCAATATTTTCCACGTGGAAAATTATACCAATCAAATACAATAATTTACAATTCCCAGAAAAATAATTTTAGGCAATTCAATTCCCTGAAATTCGTTTTCTAGACAATTCAATTCCATCTTTACAATCAAACGGACCCTTAGTTAGAAACCTTGAAAAAAATTATTTTAAAACAATTTATTCCATGAAATTTGATTATTCAATAATAAATAAATATATATATATATAAGACAAATAATAAATTGAGTTCAAAATATAAAAAATAAAGATAAATAATCATTGAATTTTTTTTTTGATTTTTTATATAAATAATCATTAAGAGATTGAACTATATTTATTTTTTATTTTTCTAGAAATTTTCATTTTTTTATTTTTTCAGATATATAATAAGACAAATAATAAATTGAGTTCAAAATATAAAAAATAAAGATAAATAATCATTGAATTTTTTTTTTTGATTTTTTATATAAATAATCATTAAGAGATTGAACTATATTTATTTTTTATTTTTCCAGAAGTTTTCATTTTTTTATTTTTTCAGAATTTTTATCTTTGATTTTTTATTTTTTTAGAATTCTAGTTTTTCTGATGTTATTTATTATTATTAGTTTTTAATTTAGCAATTTTATTTTTGCATTTATTTTTATTAAAAGTTATTTTTGAAAATTTTTAAATTTTATTGGTTAGAATTTGTATTTGTATTTTTCAAAATAAAAAACTTATTTAAACCTATGTTTTCCAAATTTTGAGTGTTTTCAAAATTTTCAATATAAACACTAAAATATCAAAAATATGTTTTGAGGTTTATGCTATAAGTTTATATTTGCTTTCGAAAATGTATTTCTGAAAATATCATATTGAGTACGTTTTTAGTGTTTTGCAAAATTAAAAATTGAAAACAACTTGAAAACAAGAAACTATTTAACCACACATTCTCCAAACAAAATAATTTTGCCAAAACTTTTTCGTACTTTTAATTATATATTCTCCAAAAATTATTATTATATAATTTATTATCCCAAAAAATATGGTAAAATGAGGGCTAACATTTCTCTTAATTCGAGTCCAGTTGTCTAATAAAGAGATAATTTACCTCTCCTTCCATGACATGAACTTTGTCATCCTCGTATTGTCCAAAAATAGAATAATGTTCATTGAACAAGGTCAATGGCAGGGATGGAGTTGATAGGGTAGCGTGGCAGACAACGATTGGGCGTTATTTTTGTTTTTAAACTATTCAATCATGTATTGACACGCATCTCTTATATTATTTTATAAAATGTTCGTCGAATAGGGTCAATGGCAGGGATAGAGTTGACAAGGTGGCGTGGTAGACATCGATTAAGCATTATGTTTTTTCTTCTTCTTCCAAACTGTCAAATTACGCATTCTCGCGAGTCTCTCATCTTATTGAGTTTGTCTAGCAAGATTGTCAAAAATAAAAACCTACTTTTCATATTTTTTTACTTTTTTTTTAATCAAACAATTTCTGTAACAATTGAAAGTCAGCTTTATCTTAAGAAAGCTTTAAAACCTCATGCAGCTTTTATTCTTAAGAAGGGCGTGGGGGAAGAAAGGTGGTGCCTTTGTATTACCCCCAACCCCACCACTCGGCAACCCATACGTGTTAATGTAGTGTATATATAAAGACACGTGTTCCATGAAGCAGCCTTTTGTCCCAATGTTCTATTTAACACCTCAGTCCTCACTCTACAGAGAAAATGTGGAGCCAGCTCTCGAAAAACAGACTGACTCAAAAAGGGGGAAAACTTCAAGATTATAATAGGAAGAATTTAGATTACGGCCAAATGGTGGACAAGAATTCGCCGGAATGGCTTCCTCCGGGCTTTGTCGAGAAGATAAAACACAGCTTTGGAAGAAAAATCAAGGTAATCAAAATTCTTGAACTTGTTTAGTCATTAATTGTAATAATTGATTAATGTTTTGTTTTGGCCGAATGGTTAATTTTTAGACGCAAAAAAGGACTTGTTTTTATGCATACTTTGGAATTAAATCTTTTAATCGTTTTGTGGGTGAGGGTTTAATTGACTCAGGCATAATGGCTACATTTGAAGGAAATGAGTGAAAAACAGAATCTTGGTCTTGATTTCGACATCCGCATATGTAGTTACTTAAAGAAATGGAAAATAAATCACATGGATATGGGTTTCAGAATCGTTATATGAAATGTGAAAATTATTTAGATGATTTGATTTTGAGAAATTTTGTGTTAGAATGTGTTGTATTCTGTATGCTTGTTATTAAATGCATAAAAATTTCTTGTTATATATATATGCTTGTGATTGAATGGACAAAAAGTATGTGTCTCATATGTATGTGTTTTTGTTTTTTTGTTTTTTTGTTTTTTTTGGGTCAGGGGCTGGAGGCCGGGAATATTGTGTCGATATAAAAAGCTACTATTTATTCTAGTGTCGGATACGGAAATAAAGATAATCTTGCAGTTTTTTTTGTTTGTTGCCTGGTACTACGCGTAGGATCCTGATTTTAAAGCTTATAGTCCATTCAAAGTTTTGAAATGATTTGATTTATTGGAGTACCGCCGAATAGTAGTGCACCACATCCCGATGTCCCGTTCATGTAAGAATAAACAATCTGGACACCTGTGGGCCCTTATAAATATGGCAAGGGTTCTTGGCCTTGCAATTGTTGTGGGAGACGAGCAGCGCCCAAATGTTTTGTCGTATGCATAGACGAATCTTCAAAAACAAAAAATTTTCTTTTCTTCTTCAGCTTGATTCCACAACATTAGACACAACACGTTTTAGATTCAGACTTCTGTATCCTCTTGAAATTTTATGAACAGTGGAGGACAAATATGTTACTAGAAGGTGCATTTTATGCAACTTTTGCACATTGTATGAAATTTCACACAATATATTTGTATCAGTATATTACAGAACTTATTGGAACACAAGCGTGTAGACATTACTGGTTTTTACTTTTTTCCCTTTTTGTCTTACATGTAATATATTTGCTCAAGGGAAAGTGACATTGGTTATATTGTGTCTAATTCTGCAGTATTACTGCAACTCGGCAACAGGCACGAAGTATTACTCCAAGAAGGATGTCCTTCGTTGTGCTGAAAGGGAAAATGTCTGCCATGATACACCACAAGCAACAAGTATCGAAGACAATAAGCTCTCTGATGACAAAACTGGTTCTGTGAGTCTGAATGCTAAACAATCTTATAATTGTGCTCTACTATATCCTCATTTTGTCCTTCATGATTAGACTGATGGTCCACAGATTGAACCTAAAACAACCGATTCTCCTGAATGGTTACCCCATGGGTGGATAACGGAGGAAAGAACTCGAAAGAGTGGTTCGTTAATGGGGAAGACTTACTTGGTATGTAATGCATAAAAGTAGTCATTTTCCTTAATCTACCTGTAGTCATTTCTTGCAAGTTGCATCTTTGCTTGCAAGCTAGATTTGTACTTTATAAGATATTACAATAGCTGTGTGCTGACTGATTACTGTTTCTAGAAGGGCAGAATAGAAAATCAATCTAGAAGATCGAGAGATTATCTTATTTTATTTTATTTTGTTTTTTTCTAACTTTCCTTCCTTTTTCTTTTTTTCTTTTTTTAAATTAGGATGACTTTCCAAAGCTTCAGTGCTAATTGTGAAGATTATATTAAATTTTAATACAGGAATGCTTGCTAGTGTGCCATGTACAAAAACACGGGGGAAAATACTATAATTTTTGTCTGATAAATACTGCCGGCTCAATCATGAAAGTTCTATGGATTATTTGTTGGATTGAAAACTTGATTCTATTTCTGGCAGTTGGCCAATAATGTTGATGAATTCTTTCGAAGTCAACTATTTTCCTTCTACATACCCACCCTTTTTGGTACTTTGTTGGAAGTCATTGATTTAAAGTTGATATCTGGTGAAAGAGTGGCCGAACAAATTCTTTCTTCATTTGGAATGAATATCCTTATCTCCTTTTGGAATGTCCCAAAACAATGTTCACTTATAAATATACACAGTCGTTCTCGGACCTCAACAACAGAGTTCCATCATCTAAATTCATTAGTTCCTCTCCTTGGAACCACATTGGATTCGTGCTACTATGGATGAGCATTGTCAACAGCTTCACAACCCGTTTTCATCCTCCATCTCTATGATTGGTGGCTATTCATTCATTCATTCATTATATTTATTTATTTATTAATTATTATTATTTTTTTTCCATTTAGGTTGTTAAGCTGCTGGATCATCATATTTGTCAGTTTATTTTGTTAAGTGAATTCTTTTGCCAAGGATCTTATATTTCACTGGATTTAATTGTTTTAACCTGGAAGCTCTAGTGGAACTAAAATCCAGGTCTAGAAGGGGTTGATGCTGTAATTTTCTTTTCTTTTCTCTTATGGAATTTTTGGAGGTTATTTAGGTGTAAGTGGTGCTCAAGTGATACTGGAGGTGGTTGTCCAGGAATTGATTGATGATTGATGTATTTTTTGGTGTTTTGGGACTAAGGAGGGTGACGGTGGTGGTGTTCTCTATCAGGAACTTAAACCTAGAATTAGTGGCTGAAGTTTTGAAACAAGTTTGGTTGGTGAAAGTTGAAAAAGTGAGTTACTTATTTTCGAAGTAACCTATATCTTACTATCAATATAAGTAACTTTCTTTATTTATAAGAAAATTAACATATTCAAAAATATTTGAAACAAAAAAATGTAGTTTTAAATCATCTTGTCAATGAGATTGAATAAGATTATGTAGATCGTTGAAGATTACGGCTATCTTATAATTGTACCAAATATAGATAAATTGCTGTTACCATATTTAGTTTGAATTTGGTTCTCAAAGAACCTCTCACATCGAGGGATATCAAGTCTTATTGAGTATATTTGACATGGTATCAGAGCTGATTTAACTTCATTGGTTAAACTTGTAAGCTTTTTGTTCTCCGGCAAGTAGTTTAGTGCTGTTCGTCCAGTCGAATTTTCTTGTTCCCGTCCATTCTTCATCAAATTATGTTAATCGTTTTCTTTTCCTGTTCATGTTCCTTTTTCAGTCTATAGAGTAATGCAAATATATGCACGGTTACAAGAGAGAAGAGTGCAATCCCAATATTGCGATGAACAGAGTACTCAACACCCTTCGACTGACTTCCGTGTTTAAGACCGGTTCCCTAGCCTGCAACCCCGATATCATAGGCTGAGATTTGGCAAGAAATGTGGAGATAAAACCATAGTGGATCAGCTGATGGAAACTCCTTTACATACTCTGCGATGATGATCCAGATTGGAAACAAAAGACCTCAGCTAAACAACATTCAGAATCCAATGGATATTTCTTCTCTTGGTTCTAGAGTTACCATTGGAGCCATCAGTGATCTGTCCTCTCAACAAATCAAAAGCTACTTGCTAGTGCGGGATGGTTGCTAGTGCGGTCAATGATGATAGTGTTAGGGTTGACGGAAGGAAAAAAGATATCCAAAACGACATGTTTGAATGTCGGAAGGATGGCTGACCATGGTGAAACGACGTCGCTAAGGGCGGCGAGCTCCTCCTCCGAGGAAGTGAGGTGGGCCCCTTGGGATAATAGAGAGGTAGCTTTTGATGGCAGTTTTCAACATCGACTTGGTGCGGTAAGCGTGGATGAACATTCTGGTATAGATAGTTTGAAGTGTTATGGTGGAAATCTTGGGGCTTTCCTCCACTGGACATGTTTAATTCTTGGATGATGTCACATGTACAAGTAACATATTCCTTAATTCTTGGGCTGTATCAGTAAAGTTTCACCGGCAGGTTTGGAGTTCGGTGGTAAGAGCTGTGAGATTCACTGACGGTACCATGAATTGGGCTCTGTAAAATTTGTTAACTGTTTATTTTGGGTGGGCTGATTTTGTTTGGCGTGGGCCTAATTTTGTGTGTGGGCTGATTTTGGGTTAAATTTGTTGGACAGCAATTTGGTTTCTTTTGTGGGGTGATTGGGTTGGGCTGTTTTTTAGTGTATTGGACAGATTATCGAGCTACAATTTTTCTTGGGATGAAATTTTTTGATTGGGTCAAAGAAAGTTTGAGTTTGGGCTCTTAATTTCTTAAGTTTGGCTGTTTGTTTTGGTTGCGTTATTTAGGTTTTATCATAGTTGGGCCACTTTGGGCTACATTATTTTTCCAGCTCTTGGATTGATTTATTAATATAATTCGGATGATCTTGGTTAATTGGTTGATTAATTTTATTGTGGGCTGAAATTTCTTCTCGACATTACTCTAAAGGTTGAGAGAAATATTCATTCTACTCAACTTCTTCATCAACAAACTTCGAAGAAGATGACACGCGGAATGACTAAAACGTGAACGTGAGTGAAGACATGGGAGTGCAGGTCGTTGATTTTGGCTGCTCGAGTGATGAGCAAGAGTTTTGGATTCTCGAAGGAGGATCATCCTTGGGTGATTTTTGGATTCACAGAGGAGGATCATTTTTGGGTTTTTAGTGTAGACTGTTTTGTGGAATTTCTTTCAACTATAGTATCTTGGCCAGCGATGTATTGCTAAAATTTTGGTTGGTACATTGGCGTTAGAACTTTTGTTGGACCATGAATTATGTGTTCGACCGAGTTCTCCCAAGAGATAGAGCTTAACGTGTGTGTTGACACACTTCTTGAATTTCTTTTAGAAATTCTTCTTAGGGTGTGAACTCTTTGGAATGTCTTTGGAGTGTTCTTGGAGTAGCTTTGGAATAGTTCTTAGTTATTTTTGCACTATTTGTTGTTCTTGGTCTCTTGTCGTTACTAGTTTTCATAGATGGTTGCTCTAATTTGGATTTCTTCTTCATGGGCACCCCTACCGAGTAGGGGTGGACAAAATGTCCATACCAAACCAAACCAAACTAACCCAAAACCAAACCAAACCAAGTGGTTCGGTTCGGTTCTATAAAAAAAAATTAATGGTTTTGGTTCTTTGAATCGAGAACCATTTGGTTCAGGTTCTGGTTCAGTTCTATTTCAAAAACCAGAACCATAACTAGAACCAAACTTAATATTTAATTTTATATATAATAATTAGTGGATACCCTAACTTTATATTTATTGGAGATAGTCCATTAATTGAACACAGTTTATTAATCAATTTTGGGTCATTAGAGATAAACAACTAATTAGTTGTCTATACCCTAATTTTGTATTCAGTTGAATTATTTCTCTTTCACTCATTTTCAATTTACACAACATAATAGCATACTGGTACTGCATTTCATGAAGTCAATGGGGGTGTCATTTAAGATCGAAAAATGAAATTGATCAGTTATTTAAAAAGTCTCTAAACTCTTTTTTTACCTTGATTGTTTGATAAGTTATTTGTGTTCTTCACAAATAGAGGAATACCCAATAAACATTCATGAGATATTAAACAGTTAATGTTGCCTGTAGAAGTGGATTGTAAAAATTTTGATAATTCATTCTTTATTGTAGGGGTATGCCCCCAAAACTAATACAATTAATTTAGTGAATCATTGTTATTACTTATTAAACAATTTTTTGTATGAAAACGAAAACTGATTTGTGTATTCAAATTATGAATATATTTTTGTTTGTTAGTTATGATTTTTTTTTTTTTTTTTATCTCGATAATTGAAATTTGAACTTCCTAAATTTTTGATGTTTATTTTCTTATTTAGGTATATATTACTAATTTATATGATGCAAATCTAAAAATTTAAGAAAT